GACGGCGCCCTGCGCCGTTCGGAGTTGCAAACGGGGCTCCGGGCGGGCCAGGCCCAGCCGTCAGCCTGGCTGGCCAGAGGGGCCTCCGGAAGTATGCTGCACGCGTTCCCGGAGGACCCTCAACACGGTCAGCGGAGAACACCCGGAGGGGTTTTAGTGGGTGCGAGTCCCACATAACCCCGGGATCTCGGGGGAGATCCCGGGGTATGCGTAGGCATTTCCCCTCCGTCATCAAAAAAAAAAAAAAAAAGACCGAATTAACTTAAGTTTAAAAAGAAGATAATTTTGAAAAAAATTATTTTTGAAATAAGAATTTCCTAATTTTTCTTAAAATGGAATTATTTTAAATAACACGTTCAAATATAGATTATAAGATAAATTTAATTTTATAGTCACATGTAAGTTACTTATATATAATAAGAGTCACACTATATAAGGCGTTTTAGAAAAAACCTTGCTAGAGGGAAGGGTATATATTTGCTTTATTTCTTTTTCTTTAACATGTATCTAACTTTCTTTAACTTCTGAAACGACTGTTCATGCATGTTTCGACTACATCGACTAGACATTTGTTACAAAAAATATATGTAAAAATTTAGAAAATGGTTGGATGTGCATACTGTTCTATAACAATTCTTCATCTAAGGATCATTTCAGAATTATATTTCTGAAATACAGGGTGCGGCAGAGAAACTTCCTTTTTTTAAAGGTTAATAAAAACGAAACTATTGCAGATATCGGTATAATTCTTTTTTGACCTTACAGATCATCTCATCAAATTTTTTTCATGCACTTTTGAAAATTACATCTATCAAATGACGGCCGCCGTTGTTTATGCACTGATTGAGTCGATTTCTGAAGTTTCGCGTCACTCTCTGAAGCATGTCCACCGGTATTTCGGCGATGGCATTCCGAATGTTTGTCTTCAGGTGAGCTAGGGTCTGTGGTCGATCCTTGTAAACGATAGACTTCAAATAACCCCATAGGAAGAAGATTGGACTGCGAGGAGGAATAATGAAGCGCGCTCGAAAGGCACGTTGAGTGGCGACAATGGAGCGGCCATTAC